CCCACGAATGGCGACATTGCGTTTACCAACATGAGTTTCCGGTACAAAGAGAACGACCCACTGGTGCTCAAGGACGTGAATGTGCACATTCAATCCGGTGAAAAGGTCGGCATTGTGGGGCGGACGGGAGCTGGCAAGAGCAGCCTGACCATGGCGCTGTTCCGCATCAACGAACTGGCTGGAGGCAGCATCAAGATCGACGGTGTCGACATCTCCCGCGTCGGTGTGAAGACGCTGCGCAGTAGCATTGCTATTATTCCTCAGACTCCCGTGCTGTTTAAAGGCCCGCTGCGCAACTACTTGGACCCGTTTGGAGAGTTTGGTGATGCCGACTTGTGGGGGTGCTTGGACAAGGTGCGTCTGGCTGATCGCATCGGAGGTGTGGAGGGCAAGTTGGACAGTCCCGTGGAAGAAAACGGAGAGAATTTTAGCGTGGGGGAGCGGCAGATGTTGTGCATGGCGCGGGCACTGCTCCGCCAAGCGCGCATCGTCGTGATGGACGAAGCCACGGCGGCCATCGACCACGAGACGGACCAGAACTTGCAGCGCGTGATCCGCACCGAGTTTGCGTCGTCGACGGTGCTCACGATCGCCCATCGTCTGGACACGGTGCTGGACGCCGACCGCATTATTGTGTTTGACCAAGGCCGATTGGCCCAATGCGACATCCCCGCGGCGTTGATCGACGCTGGCGCCGGTATCTTCTTTGAATTGTGTCACGAGGGCGGGTACTTGGACAAAGTCGTCAGTAGCCAATCAGTAGAGTAAGTCGTAGGGCATGGAGAGTTGTACTGTACACATAACGTTAGTTATTCTTTTTTGGTATATATCGTGTTTTGGGCATTGATACTCCTTGGAATACACACTGCGAACATCAAAGTTCAACTGGCCATGAATTATTTCCACATTACAGTACAGTACTCCTTTTAGGCTTAGAGTTATGAGCTTATTCGTACTTGAGTAACGTTACAATAATGTTATGTATGGATAACTTGGCGAATAAGACAATTCTATCCGACATTAGTCTTATTGGTTAAAATTTCAATACTTCGTACCTTTCATTGGTAGATGACTCTTCATTTTCAATACAAAGGCCAAATGTCGTATGTTGTTTTTATACAAGTCTCTGACGAGGTGAGGACATGAACCGTGAGGAGCAGCCTCTGCACGCAATACACGTGGCACACGACGTGGCTCTGGGTACCACGTGTAATGCGTGCAGAGGCTGCATGCAACATGGATTCGCACCCTAAAGTTGCGTTTGCGGCCTGATCACAGTTCTTGCTGTATCCCATGGAGGCATGGGGACAGAAACCCTGTCACCTCCAGCGATGTTGCAATCGCTTGCATTTCCAATGAGGAATCTAGAAAGGGTACAGTTAAAGACACCGTAATGAAGATACGCGTTAAGTTGGACAAAAGAGCGTGGCGTGGTCGACGTGCTCTTGGGTCGCGTCACCAATTTCGAGTTAATGACGCGACCCCTCGGTATAGTGACCACACCAACATCAGTGTGCTGCAGTGTACTGATCATTCGTGAGTTTACCATCGGCACACGTCCCAACTGTGGCACGCCATTTTACCTGGTGACTGCACAGTACATCAACGTGATCACGGTGTCGGGGACGACAGGTTGGCGAGCTTAAGTGGTGTCAGCTCAGCGATGAATAGCTCCGAGTGATGTATAGTTTCACTAGCAAGGTCGATAAATATGTCGTATGTAATGTTTATCA